ATCAGGCCACCAAAGCCACCCTCCCCGTACATCCAGGCGAAGAAAGCTGGGAAGGAGGAGGAGAATGGGCCGTGTACGGAAAAAGCGGAAGAAAAGAAATAATAAAGTTTGAAAATTTATCAGAATGATGTTAATGGTTACATTTGGTGACCAATTTCATATAAGTGATACAAAAATTTGTACTCCATATTTTATAAACATTTCTTAAATGTTTGCTCTCAACATATCTTTTTCTTCTTAATCAGCTGTGCTTTGAGAAAAAGATTAAATACGAAATGTAAAAAATGTGAAATTGCCAGCTTTAATATACCATTTGGGTAATAAGTTCAGAGAGGTTTATGAATTCTCGTTGCTTTTGTGTAATATTAAGAACTTGTATGGCAAAGAGAGGAAACTTATTGCAAATTTTTTACATAGACCCACTCAAGGGTGGATCCAGATACATATGTCAGGTTTTTTTTGTTGGGGGGGGGGGCTGAAGTCATTGTGTCTTTGTATTAAAAAAGAATTTCCTTTGAACACCCCCATCCACTCTTGGACCAACTTGCTTTGAAATTTTCTTGACCACAGAATTTTCAATAGGCTCCTTGACAACCCCCCCTCCCAAACCTAAAGAAAACAAACAAAAACTCAGCATACACTTGAAGAAAGTGCACATGCAAGTATTGTCACATTGCACTGTACCAACTGCTTGTCAACCTTTTGTCATCCAATCCCTGTCAGCTTGGCAAACAGCTTGGTCAACACTGTGGGTGAATGGATCGTGGTCAAATTAGGAGAGCTGACTCAGCAATTGGAGAATGCAGAGGCACTTTTGGATACTGAACGGCTTGATGGACTTAGACAGGTTTTATCACATAAGCCCAATTTAGTCAATCCGCCTCCATTACCTATTTTAAAAATGTATATCAATGACGAAGACAAGAGCGAGGCGGATCAACCCAACACAGTAAAAACGGCTGTTGAACCACAAGAAATTTATTACGAAATTCAAGAAAATTATAAAAGGCAGCAGCGAGGTAATGACAGAGTTATCCCTAGCGTAATGTGCTATTGCAGAAAGCTCTAGGCTTTATAGGGCTCGAGGGAGCCCACATTAAAGGTCATTCTTTTTCGCACTGGGCTGCATCTTCTGCGTCGCATATGGGGGTGGCTAATACTGATATTCAGTCAATGAGATGCTGGTGTTCTGATACATTTTTATCTACGCCCGTCACTTAGGAGAGCTGACTCAGCAATTGGAGAATGCAGAGGCACTTTTGGATACTGAACGGCTTGATGGACTTAGACAGGTTTTATCACATAAGCCTGATTTAGTCAATCCGCCTCCATTACCTATTTTAAAAATGTATATCAATGACGAAGACGAGAGGGAGGCAGATCAACCCAACACAGTAACAACGGCTGTTGATCCACAAGAAATTTATTATGAAATTAAAGAAAATTATAAAAGGCAGCAGCGAGGTAATGATAGGGTTATCCCTAGCGTAATGTGCTATTGCAGAAAGCTCTAGGCTTTATAGGGCTCGAGGGAGCCCACATTAAAGGTCATTCTTTTGCGGGAGACGCTACCTGGGCGCCTGCCGAGTACGGTCATGATTAATATAACGCATGACGTGTGCTTCATGAATAATAAAATTGAATGCACTGTGTGTATGTACTACATGCACATTTGTATGTACTACCGCGCAAAATGCTGCTGCAGCTAGTTGTATGAATAATGTCGTCTGATACGGACGAATTTTGCCCTTGGGCAAGTATCGGCGACAAGAAAGGCAGCTTTGGTCGAAATAGTGTTGTTACCAAGCCATTTTCATACTCTTACGGCTGATAATTTGTCTGGGTGGGTAAATACATGTTCTGCCGCCGAAGAAGTTCGGAAGATTTTTGAATCTACCAAATCAATTCGCTTTACAGTATCGGCGACAAGAAAGGCAGCTTTGGTCGAAATAGTGTTGTTACCAAGCCATTTCCATCCTCTTACGGCTGATAATTTATCTGGGTGGGTAAATACATGTTCTGCCACCGAAGAAGTTCGAAAGATATTTGAATCTACCAAATCAATTCACTTTATAGTATTGGCGACAAGAAAGGCAGCTTTGGTCGAAATAGTGTTGTTACCAAGCCATTTTCATCCTCTTACGACTGACAATTTGTCTAGGAGGGTGAATACATGTTCTGCCGCTGAAGAAGTTCGGAAGATTTTTGAATCTACCAAATCAATTCACTTCATCGGTGACAAAATGCAGCTTTGGTCGAAATAATGTTGTTACCGGAAGTTCCGGGTCCACAATCCCGCCCACAACCACTCAACCCAGAGGCGAAAGAAGTGACAAACCCCAACCTAATGCAGTCAAGTTGGGTACATTTGAGAAAAAAATAGAAGTATACAATCATGGACCCCGATGTGGAGTACAGGCGGGCGCAAGTTGGGTACATTACATTTTTGAAAGAAACAAACGAGTATAAAATCATGGGCACATGTCGAGTACAGGTGGGCGCAAGATGGGTACATTTGAGAAAAAATAGAAGTATACAATCATGGGCGCATGTGGAGTACAGGCTATGGCCACATGTACGGCTATGGTGACATGTATTGATAGAGGGATGGGTATAATCAGTATCATTTTCGGATGATAATTATTCCAAATGTTACGAAAGTGAGAATAATGTGTTGCTTCATAAACTTTGCCTTGCCGTTCAGACAGTGAGAGTGCCCCAAGTGATGATGATAAGAAGTATCTGGTGTTTGAAGGCAATCTCCTAGCTCTATTCCAGACTTGCCAAAAGTGTGCTGACCCATCCAAAAAGAAAGTCTGTCGGTCGTGGGGTGGGACCCTTGTGGAGGTTCACCAGATAATGTTGAGTCCGAGTATGCGGACATACAAGGAAGTGGTGGAGCCAGCCAATGGTCAGAAAGTGCCCAGCAGGCAATTTGATGCTGTCCGCTGCACTGCTATAGTACTACTATTTTGACCGTGCATCAAGAAGGTACTACAAGCTCTAGCAAATGTTAAAAGTGCCGCCTACAGTTACCAGGCCTTCTTCACCTATCAACGAAGGTATTGTTACCACTGTTGGTTTTGTTGATATCAATCATCAATCACCCTTGGTTTGAGGCAGTTTGCCTCAATCCAACCACACTGCAGACAGCATACCTCCAGTACAGGCAGCAGTATGGAGCTAGGGCATTGCAAGGAGATGATGCAAGGGTTGGAATTTCTTTATTTTTCTTAGTCTAATAAAGAACGAGCCAACAAATTTCAGCATCCTTCACCTCATTAGAGACTACATTTCAATTGTCTTTTCTGAAAAGAAATTAGTCAATGCATTCCATGTTTTGATTAGGACTCAAGTGCCAATGGTTGCCGAAACAATTTGGGAAATGTTGTGAATTGTATAAGCCTGTGGGATATTTCCATTTTTCAGTTTATATATTGAGCTCAAAGTAAACATCACTAATCTTTATGCTTGCATGTGTTTAAAACCCAACACTGACTTCCAAGCTGTACAGTTTCACTCATGGTCAAATGTAAGATTTTCTCCCTTTTTCTAATCTGCTTATGCATGTTCTTGTAGGAAGTTTGGCCATGTGGTATATCAGCAAGCCGTTGGACGGTGCTGGGGATATCTCGGGAAAGATAACAGAGTGCAATTGTCATCTTGTGTTATGCGGACATTTCCCTAAGGCTGGGGCCTTTCTCACTGAGGCCTGGCTTCGTCAAGGATTTCTACGGTACTTGTGATTCTTTGTTCATTGGCTAAGAGTTAATTAAAGCAAGTGCGAATTAAGAAACGTCATTAGCCAGTATGTCCAGCAGTGTGTGATTTATTTCCTTCGCTCATCCGTCCATATTACCCAGGTGATTATCCTTTTATCACAAGAGGGCCGGATCTATGCCGTACCACTAGATTTATTTTGATACGCACAGAAGAGGAATCCACTTTACCAGCTGTCAGGAAGCTCCGACAGATGATAAGCTGTCATGCAAAATCAGAGCCGACAAAGATTGAGAAAGGAACCCTGCGAGTGTATGCCGGTTGGAAGCATCGGGAGAAACACCACGGTTCAGCAATGCAAGTGGTGCTTAGCCGTGGCAGGGGAACAAAGATGTTGGATGTTCCAAAAGACGCAGACCTGTCGATTGTCCATGAGACATTCAAGGATATTTTTGCGTTCTGGCCCCGACAACCATGGTTCCCACGACTGATCAACCTGTCGGTTCTACAATTCACTAGTCCTGCCACATCGTCCGCATATTCTGTTCCGAGTTCCAACATAATTCAGCCAGCTCCCCAGGATCTTCGCCTGACATGTTGGACATTGTCCAACGATCCTTTCGAACAGCTGGCCTTTCGGCTAAAGCTGCCACATTTCCTTTTCTGTCCAACTTTGCCTAAAGAGCCTTCAAATATTGCCACAATCCCAAGGACTCCCTAAGATATTCTCAATAAAATTGCAGACAAAAGTCCAATCGCGAAAAATATAACACTAGGACAATATCTTCAGGTGGGTTGTAAAGAGATATTGACAATCTGTGTTGCCAACAATCAATCGGTGCAAGGAATTGCATCCTGAGAACAAAGTTAAGCTTGTCAAAAAACACAACATGCAATCTACTGTTCAGAACTTCACGGAATGCTTTTTGAATACTGTGCTAACATGGAGTTTGTCCGAAATTTAAAAAAAAAAAAGTGGTGTATAGAGCATAGGATCATGGACAGAACTTATAAAAACAAACCCAAGAACATCTAGGTTTTCCAAAGATGAAAAAGATTAGGCAACAAAATCGTAAAATGAAAAAAAAAAAGTCGAAGAAGAAAATGAAAACACACAGAACCATTGTTTATGATTCAGACAAATTGCCAAATTTGAGAGCACTTTGATTTTCAACAAACAGTGGAAAACTACAAGTTGCCAAAGTTGAGAGTAATAAAACATTTCCAAGCTACAAAATCCAGTTGTCAACAACTGCATGTTGTTGAGTATACTTGGAAAGGTACTATGCACTACTTATATTCCATTCTAATCTCTGTGGTTTCATGGTCTTCCATTTGACTTAAAAAGTCAACGAAATTTCAACACAACCCTGTGGTCTGAAATTCCATAAAATATTGCACTCACACAATCTTGGCTGCTAATCCACTCACACTGCTTACCGACCGGCATGACAAGCTCATCTTCCTGAAAGACACAGGTACTCAATAGTAGATACTGTACATCAGAGTTTCTCAAATGAAGCCAGCTGGCTGGGTTGTCTGGTCTGGTTCGGGGAGGCTGGATCTGATGGTGGTGGAAACACACGATCGATGACAAGGCAAACGATACCTTCTACAAGCTGAGACTGAAGTCGCCTGAAACAACATTGTGTGAAAATGATTAACAGCATTAACTCTATTGCCTTTAAAAGTTTAAGAGGACTTTTGCAACTTTTGAAGTTTGTAGCAATACATGTATCTTAGCAATGCTTCATCAACGGTACTTCAAAATATTTAATTCATCACTCATTTGTTTTTTTCTCAAACCTGTGCATATTGGCATAATTCAGATGAAATGTTAAACCATGAAGCATCCACATATATTTCGTGCAGTATTGAAGGGGGATAATTTTGTTCTTTTCAGGCCCTTGATGCAGAAATTTTATGATGGAACATCATTTGAAGACTCTTAACATTTTTAGCATTGGAATAACAACGTTTTGAATGCACTTTGGAGAACATGCATCAACTCTAGTCAGATGCACAATCCAGGGGGTGACATTTCATGTAGGCACAAAACTGTTAACGAAGGACCACAGCACAATCAATTTTGAGATCTCACGTGGCCTTACAATGCACCTGCAATAAACATGTGTCTTGTCAAAAATACATGTAGTTAATGCTCAGTAAAATCTTTTCCTCTTTGAGGTAAGCGTACACTTTGCTGTGCTTACTGCTTACGGTCTCCATGAAAAAGACAGAGCTTCTACAAGTAGATAATTGTTTGCTTAGCAAACTTGGGCCTGGATTGGAGCTGGCTGTCTGCACCCAGGAAGCTCTGTGACTGAGTGGAGTAGAAATCTGCTTTTCAGCAGGAGCTTGATTGTTCGAGTCTCCACCAGGTAATTTTTTTTTTTTTTTGCTCTCAGACACCTACCAAAAGTGCTCAGTGCTTATAAAGGTATGCACTATTTAAAAAAAAATAATTACAACAATTAAAAATGTTGAATGTAACTAACTTTGCACATGCCGGTGCTCCATTGACCTCTATCAGCCATACTTTGAAGTCTGTGTCTAGCATGAAGTCAAATCCAAACAACTGGAAACTCTGATAGCCCAATCCCTCTGTGGTCACTTCCTACGAAAGAAAAGACAGATGACTTTATAGTCAAACACAAAATCCACAGCTGTTCCCTGAATTCGAGGTGTGTGCATCATAGAAAAACCTTGATGAATTTAAAGGGCAACTATTGCATGAAATCCCCAAAAATGTTATGTTTTGGATTGTTTACTTATTCTATGTCAAAAGTCTTGTTAAAGGAAACTAACCTAGAGTCTTACCGTTCCCAAGAAAAGATGAGAAAAAGCCAGTTGTTTACTTCTGACACAACAGACATTTCCAGCCATGTCTATCCAATGTACAGTACACACTGTGTGCGCAATACTACTCTCTGCACCAATACACAAATGTTGTTTTTCAATTTGTCTGTTTTATTTAATTTGATAAAGCTCCTTCTTTTTATCTTGGGATGTTTTCAATCCTCCAAAAATCCTCAGGGTTGCTTTTCATGATGAAGTGGTCGAGTCTTTTTTATTTTTAAACCCTGGTTTTGAAATCCTATGTCGTTGTTTGTCTAACTTGTACTTGCCTCTTTGATTGCTGTTAAGCATTGCCTAATGATGTGATGGATCTGTGGCAATATGGTGTCTTCCATACATCCATTATAGTTATCTTGAAGAAATCTGCAAAAGTAGGATTGTACAACCAGGAAGTACAACCAGCGAGCTTTAGTTATGTGTAATTTTTCCAACATAATATGTGATATATTGTCAAAAAACAGACACCTCCAGATAAATGGTAAAAAAAACAGGGTTTTTTTAATTATTGCTAAAATGTAGATCTTCCCTTTACATTTTGGAAGTAGACGTTCTCAGCAAAATTATCTCAGTAATTTCAAAGACAATGGACACCATTGCAACATATGTGTTTTTGCCAATTCAAGGAGCAATACAACAAATCTGAAGCCGTTTATTAAAAAAATAAATTTCAGCTCAGAAGATGTCATACATTGAACTGATACACTGCTACAAATCATTTTTGAAAAATCACCGAGTTGCAAGCCTAAATTACGATCAGAACTTTTATAGTATTTTGATCACAAATTTGCGAAATATAAGTGAAAGACAAAAACGAATACATCGTATCTTCATTTTAAGCTTTGCACAGGAGTGTCTGGCACTGCAGAACACTTCTCATAATTGTCCAAACTTCAAACGGACTTGAACTTTTAAACACTGATCAGAATCTGAAAAATATGAAGACTTTTGTTTGAACAATTAAGAGAGTTAATAATGAAATTTGTAGCTCACCTGTTAAATTCTGTGAAAAACATTTCATTTCCATCTTCGTACATGCCATAGTTTTGAGAGTGTGCTTCCTGAAAAAGAAAGTACTGGTAAATCAACCAAATGCATGCAGGATTTAGGTAAATGAAACTTTCCTGGAACTTTTGAAGATAACATCTGTGATTTTGTTATCTTGACAAAAGAAGTTGTAAGGAAAATTGCATTTTGAGAGGTTATCTGTTTAAAAGTGTACAACATTGGCTAACTTGTCTACCTAAGACTACTGGCTTACAGAGAAAAAAATCAACAAAAATCTTCCAAGGGCCCTGGAGCAATGATGCATTCATAAAATATCTTTGTATTTCAGTAGTTCAAGACTTGAAACAGGTAATAATACTTCAAAGTATCCCTTTTAAAGTATCGTCAACCTTAAAGGTTTTTTTTTTACATTAATTAAGGCAAGTTTTTATATTTTAGAGGGCCAGTTGTGATAGCTTTCTTGGAAATATGAAAATAATTCAGGCCGAAATCACACCAACGTGTGAATACTACATTCGATCAGCACAAAAACTTTTGGGAAGTAAAAAAAAAAAAAAATATCCGGCTTAACAACCCTATTTTAAAAAGGCATGTACATGTAATCAGAAGCAGAAGCATTTTGTTGTGTTTTTTTTGCCTAATTCCCTCTTTTCACACTTCCGCCGTGGGCATGCAGAGCCTCGATCTGGCAACTCTACACAATAAATATAGCCGGTTCAGTGATTCCCATGTCGGGGTTCAGATCACTGAACCAGCATTTTTCATTCTGTAAAGTTGCCAGATTGAGGTCTGCATGCCAAATGGCGGAGTGTGAAAAGAGCGAATAGTGTCATACAATGACTGTGTACAAAGGTTAATCCTACAAGGGTTCACTCCAAAAAACATCAAAGCTGAAGAAGTGCCTTGTACCAACCTGTATGCAGTGGTTTGTTAAATGACTTGTGATATTCTTGAGATCATCAGCAATGTAGGGTTCAGATGACGTCCGTAAGACACCCTCTCTCATCATAAAAATGTTGTACTCGTGATCGAGCAACACCCAACACCTGAAGAAAAAAAACACAGGAATTTGAAAGTTTTTTCTTGCAGTTCATCTGTAATGCCTTTTTCTGTGTCTTTGAGAAAACAAGGGAAAATAAAACGATGCCCTTAAACTAAAGTGAAGATAAAATCAACTTAAATCATGAATTACACTGGCCCGATCCATTTACCACGATATACAGTGTAGTTTTAATTTAAACCATTTTACACACACATTTTGTTTAGCTTCTTTGGACCATCAATATACTCTCTAGACTAAAATTGATCTTGATACGTGTAAATTGAGAGTACAAAATTAACTCCCGTTAATCCAAACTCAGCTCGACCTAGCCAAAATATGTCACATCCAAATTTTGATATTAAGTGGAGTGCTGGTCCCATTCATTTTGCACATAAATGCATGGTCGAAACGGAGGCTTTATGTTCACTATATTTTTACAACAGAGTTTGTATACGAAATGTATCAAATGTGCGCAATGAATAACAAGTGGAAGTAGACCTAGGAACGCACAACCCAAGACATGCTTGGAAAAACAAACATGCATGATCTTTAAGAAAATGTTTCCTCCATTCATTCTTACAATGGTTTACAAGGAAATTTTTAAGACGCACATATACTATGTGCAAGATGAAGCCTTTTTCAATAGCCAAAGCATACGGACTGCCCATTAATTTCGCATCACTTTTTTTAACACAATAACAATACAACAAACAATTGACAACACATTATTTTTAAGCACAAAGTCTGTCCTGCTGCAATATTACAATAACTTTGTTCCAGTTATTGCGTTGTTTTTTTTTCTCTGAGCAACTTTAACCATTATGTGACTTACCGAATATCAAATTTCCGATTGCCTGTCAGCAGAAATGGCTTCTCGATGTATTTCTGCACAACATGGGCCTGGGGCTGACCATCTACAAACGCCAGCAGCTCATCAGGATCCTGTGATATGAGTATACCTTCACCTGTCATGACAAAAAGATCAAAATAACTACCAGGGTATCGTTAACGTTTAGAAACACGCATTTGTCTGCCTCCACAGGGGACATTTTTTAGTAAGCACAGAGGATCGCCTAACGACTTTTACTATGCAGTTACCTTACTATGCAGTATTCATTGAAAGCCTGCAGTTCTAACAGCAACTGCCTGGATCTTCTTTGGTCCCATAAGGTTATGGATAACCTATTATAAACATAGAACTTCAACTGTTGATTTGACAATTATGTGGCAGCTATTAATTCAACAACCTAAATCAGCACTGGAACAGTGATCAACATGCAGTCGGGAGAACTGATTTCTTGCCATTGAAAGGCTTATAACTCTCATGAATGTGCCCTACAACTACAAGTAGACGTCCTAACAGTTTTGTTGAAGAATGCAATATCCCAAAACCACTAATTTTTTTTTACCATTTACAACTTCAATGTTAGCCAGTCATTAAAAATCTTTTGAAAAATTTGGGACTGAGAAACATTTCCAATTTTTTTCAGAAGATATTTTGATAATTTTACAACTCCCAAATGACTTTGTACACAATCACCATAGCGGCAGCAGGATACTACAATCTTTCAAAATTATCTGATGTCATGAGCCCGCACACAAGTTTGGCAGTTTAAGCACACTTGTACACTAATGTTGTGCATCAGGTTGGGTTGACCAGGCCAAAGTGACCCAAAATATTATAGATATGAACCGAATCTGAACCGAAACTGATTTGAGCTCCCCAAACCCGACCGGAACGGACTCGACCCGACAAAAATTCAAGCAAAAACCGACCCCAAAATATATCTGGCTTGGCCAAGTGTGTCTGTTTTTTGTGCCTGCTTTTTGTGTCTGAACTTACCCCCATTGCGTGAAAATCATCAGCAATACTCATAACATGACCTACTGGTGGGCCTCCATGGTACAGACTGTGCGTTACAGACCACAAACCACATGCACATTTGCGCGGTTGGTTGACGTTGGTCGTATCGGACACAGTTACTCTGCAATACTATTGCTTAACCGACCCGACCTGACCCGAAGTCAGTTTCAGGTCAGGTCAGTTTTGGATTCAGGTCGGGTATACACAACATTATTTCACACACACCAGTCATGTGTGGAGCTTGACTTCGATACGAGTGATATACTGCCGCCATGCATAGCAGGGGTGTGAGTGACCACTGATAAAAATAGCTGAAAACAGTTGAAAAAGGTGTAAAAAAGCTGAACTTTGGAAATCTCCTATGCTTTTGTACACAGCAAGTGAGGGAAAAAGCTGAAAAAGGGTGAAAGCCAACACACAAAAAAGCTAAAATCAGCTTTAAAGCTGAGGTTTCACACCCCTGCATTATGCCCTCACTGGGCTCCAGAAATCCCACAAGGAGCTCATAAACATACTGACCTTTAGCTCCGGAGGATGACTTTGCAATCCAGACACTTCCATCTCCAGACCCTTGGCTCATCTCCCAATGTCGCCGAAACTCTTCCCTGTCATCCGCATGCTGATTGTTCTGTCGTAACTTACGTATCCACTCCTGAGAAGTGCTACCATTCTCAGATTTGCATGCATTATTGTTGTTGGCTGGACGAATCACAAAGGACACCGGTAGCCAGTCCACACGATCACTATGGAATTGTGATGCAGTATTCAGAACTGATACAAGTTTGGTCTTGCGGCAAAGACTGGAAGAGCCTCGGTAGTAATTCACGAGCTGCTGCAGACCTGGTTCGTGCCCTGTTAAAAGTCAAAGAGATCAAGAAGAGATATTATTTCTACTGCTGTCCTCATTTTCGAGTAGCACTTTTTTCCTTGTTGCATGCCTTCAATTTACCCACCCTTATTTCCCTCAAATAATCAAACCTTGTACCTTGAACTCAACTTACAACTAGGGCTATGCATCGGAACCAGTACCTGAGTACCTGACCATTTATGTCGGGAAGACATTTTTTTAAATACTGTCCCCAATTTACCAATATGTTAGTGTTACACATCCGTAAACGGGTGCAAGCCAGCTAGTCTGGTTTCCTGACCTGACAAATACCCTAAAATTTATAAATTGGGAAAGAATGTAGTAATCCAGGCGCTACTTCTTTGGTTGTGTACAACTAAAAAGTGAGTCGTCTATCGAGAGTCGAGTGCATTTTTAAATAATTTTCAAACAAAACTGGAAATGTTACTCAGTCCCAGATTCATGTCTTTTAAACATTTCTGCAATAACTGACCTTGAGAGGATCAGGAAAGAATGTAGAACATGTACACTTGACCAAAAAGAAAGTCCCCCCTTCCAATACTTTTTGGTCTAACTCAAAAACTACTGACTGAGCACCTCTCGCTCAAATAACGACTATAGTATTAGTACTGAAATTCCTTAGCAATCCAGCCATACTCTTTACTTTATTTGACCCATTCTTTCCCAATGTTCAGGAACAGGGTTGACGATTTTTTAGATTTAAAAAAAAAAATCAAAAAATCGGATGTACTTGATTTAAATCAGATTTTTTTGATTTAAATCAGATTTTTTTTTTTTTTTTTAACTTTCAAAATATGGATATGTCTAAACATGTGTCTATTAAAATCTCCCCATGCACCCTCACACCCATCACAAAGGAGTTTACATGTTCCTATAATACCCATCATCTACAAAACTCAATAAATTGATAAATGCTTTTGAAAAATATTGTATTGAATCAGTGATTTAAAAAAATCACTTAATTTCTTCTACATGTAGTCTACATCATTGATTCAATGGTACATTAAAGGGAATGTACAACATTTGCTTTTGCTGCAATTTTCAGAAATAAATGGATTTGGAGGATAAGTATATTATAGCAAATATTGTAACACTGACTTGTTTCACGTTTTGGGTTCATAGATGCTGGAAAAACCAAGAAAACCAATCATGTTCTTGTAGTCTGGTTCCCTGACCCCACTTAAGATAAAACGGAGCAATTTACAGACTTTGGGGAATTGTTAGATCAGAGAATCAGTCTAGCAGGCTTGTAGTCTTCACAGGTGTGTAATCAATTGCAAAGAAAATGCAGACGAACTGAATATGAAAAATTAGGAACACTTTTTGAAAAAATCCAGTTTTCTCCAACGCTGGTCGGCCGACCAGCATTGGAAAAATACAGTTTATCTTGAAAATGTCAGCACACCAGGTGCCACAACTTTACAGGATGCTTTAGACTGTCATTCCCTAACAGTAACAATCCAGAAAGATACTTCGTGATAATTTGATCTTTTGTTTTTTTGATGTTTGCAAATGTTGTATCTTCCCTTTAATAGTGAAGACACTTTAAAGGTGCATTGCTTGATTGATACAGCTGAGATACGTTGTGTGTGGATATGAATAAAAACTTGATTTATGGCACCTGTACATGGTATACAAAAAAAAATACGACAGTTCTCCATGGGCATGTTGATTTCATAAAAATGTTTCTAATTTCAAAACCGGAGGCACTGCAGCCTTGTGTAACTTACACTAGTTACAGTGTTTGATTGATGGTCCAAGGTGGAGAACAGAAATCAGGCCTTGCACCTTTAAAAGGTTTTATATAAATCTCAATCTAAATTTGTAGGGGGAAACGTTAGGAATAAGACTATCAATTGCGACTTTTAATACACCTTTTGATGGTTCATGTAAGCCTACACCAGCACAGTTGATTCACAATATTAATGTAAACAGATCAAGGACAGAGATGAAACTGGCATGTGGCAAAAAAATCGGAAAATAGGCCGAACAAAAATACGTGTCCGAAATCTGGGCCGCGCTGCCATTACACACATATACATGCACAATATACTTCATGCCCAATTTCCGGACACCAACTCCTGCTTTATTTTTGATTCAAACAAATTTTTACGATGAAAAAAAAAACGGTCAGTGTTTTCATTGCATAAAATGCCTGAATTACGGTTAGAGTAATGGAGTCATCAATAAAGAAGTTCACTTCTTACTTGAGAAAGTCGAGGGAAAAGTCCGAAAGACAAGGGCACCGTTCATGGTGCGTCAATCATGTCCATGATTCAACCACTTGCAAATGCATTCATACATGGGAAAAAAATCAGGCATTATCGTCTTTCTCTTCCAACAAATGGCAGTGAAATGTTTCGCTAATGTTCTCTTCGCTATCCTCGAGATAATCATCATGATTTTTAAAGCATTGCATTTTGTACAACTGAATCTGAAACCTCCGAAAATCGCACAACATAATGATTTTATCCACAGGATCCTTCACAAGGCGTACCGTCCCGGCCGGCCATGTGCTAGCGGACGGTACGGCACTACGGTGGTGCGGTACGTACCGTACGCTGGTACCATTGCATATGCGCACGCACGTGCGACACAGTGATTTTTCCATGTCGCCTGTCAATGTTTAACCTTTTGTCCAGCCGGAGAAGGCTCCGATCAGTGTTATGCCCTGTGTTTACCGTCGAAACTCTCCAATAACGACTGGTGAAAGAGATTAAAACTACGTTCGCGATGATTCTTAATTCGGATTTTAACACGCCATTTCCATCCACTTTTCGAAATTATGATTGAAATAAAATGACATTTTGTGAAAAATCATCAGAAAATCAAATTTTGTGGGACACACTGTAAAAAAATCGGAAATTTCATTGGAAAATTCAAAAAGTCGGTTTTCCGATTAAAATCGGAAAAGTTTCATCTCTGCAAGGAATGATTAAAGCAAACGTGAGTGTGCTCTCTTTAAAATTTAAAACCTTGAAAACAACCTTTTAAACTCAGATCTTGACTTAATCAAAACAACAATTTTGTGTAATTATGCAAAACCTAAATTGAGTAGATGGTGATGAAGTGCTAGGGGTGTTTGAATGTGTTAACAACATCTTACACTTTGTAATTAAGTGGAATCAGTTGATTTAAATGATTAAAATGACCCTCAGCTCAATCAATTGATTTTGCCAAAAATAAGAGTTTTACAAAAAAGTGATTTAAATCAGTGATTTTTTATTAAAATCATTTGATTTCAATCGCGATTTAAATCAGTCATGTCAGTGATTTAAATCAACGTGATTTAAATCAGCCAACCCTGTTCAGGAATGGAAAAAAACAACCGATTTCCCTTTGAAGGAAATATTGAAACACTGCAGCTGTCTCAACAACATACCCAATTTCCCATAAGGTAACTTATTCCGCTCCCCTAACACCAGGTTTACACGCAGTGTATCGGCACTGAGTGCCGCTGATGGGGGACGATCCCCTCTCTCACGTCCGCGCTCTCTCCAATGTGCTTTAGCTCGCAACACCTCGGTGACAGCGGCATAAACACTGCTTTCCAGGTCTCGAACACTAAATGTGTACATTGTCTTGGGTTACTCCACATCCATGGTTATTTGTGCAGTCAAAGTTTTTGTAATGGATCAAGAAAACAGTCAAGTTGTTACATAAATGTCGACATTCCGTCAGCACAAACTTGAAAAAGAAAAGTTTCACAGACGCAAGCGTGTCGTGGAATTCAACATGGCCGCCATCCCTAGCGGCAATGAAAGGCTCAATTTGATTGGTTTAAAAGGTGACAGGCATTTTGGGGCAAGTGCGTGCATGCAGCGCGCACGTGACATAGTAGTTTTGTAAATCGTAACCCTTCTTGAAATAGTGCACAATTTACATTTATTTATTTATTTATTTATTTCATTCTCCGGGATATTACAAACAGTGAATCATAGACAAAACATGTACAAATAACTCTGAGTAGTAAACAAAACAGAAAACATAACAGAAAACAACACCCAAAAAGCTCTTGCAGGATTACCCAATAGAAACAAGTTTCTGTCGAGGGGCTCTCCAAACTAATTGGATAACAGTGATTAATACAGTTAGGATAAAATTCATTACATAAAATATTTATAAAATTAAGCAGTTATAAATAAATAAATAAATAAATAAATAAGTAAGTAAATAAGTAAATAAATAAATAAATAAACAAATATATAAATAAATAGATTAAATAGAATATAAATGAAATAAAATGAAATAAATAGAATAAACTAAAATAAAATAAAAATATGTGTAAAATAAAATGAAATAAAATAAGATTAAATTAAATAAAATAAACAAATAAATAAAATAAAAGCTGGCATACATGCTATGTCTAAATCATTATTATAATAATAATTAATAATAATATGCAGTGAAAGGCAGTTTGTTGAGCCGGAGAAATTTGATTTGTGAAAACATGAAGTCAGGATAAAAATATCTTGGGAGGAAAGCTCTAGAATGCATGAGAGATGGGGTCTAGACTGAACAGATGATCACGTAAAGAATTGATGAGAGGTTTGGGGGAACGTTCTAGGCAAAGGTCTCGAACATCGGTGGAAAGTGAATTAAAAAACCTGGGAAAGAGGGTGAACAAAGACAATTTGACACAGTTTGTCCGGCTGTACTGATGTTTGAAGAGGAGGGTGTGGGTTTTCCTAGTGTTGACCTGTGGAAGAAAATGTGAAGAAACAGAAATTTGATTGTAGAGACATTTAATGACAAAGGAAGCACTGAGGTATACAAGTCTGTTGTAGAGGGGAGGCAAGTGAAGTTTGGACAGGCGTTGTTCATAGGAAAGAGAAATAGCAACATTGTAATGGAAGCAAGATTTAGTGAAGCTACGTTGAATTGCCTCAAGGCATTGGATGTGGTTCTTCTGGTGAGGTAGCCAAACCGGCGCGGCGTATTCCAAGATGGGCCTGCAGAGAGAACGATATAATTTGAGAAGAACTTCAGCATCTTTTGATTTTACAGTGCGCCGTATGAAGCAAGTCTAGAACACTTGGCACGAACAGAATTTACATGTTTGGTCCAGGTTAGGTCGTTCGAAAGAATAACACCAAGATATTTATAAGACGTGACAACATCAAGAGGTTCATCGGAATCTGCAAAAAAAGTAAGGGGTTAGCAATTGCTTTCTGGAGCGGGTGACATGCATAACTTTGCACTTGGTGGAGTTCAGTTGCATCCGATTATCAGAACACCATCTAGAAATAGAGTTGAGGTCATTCTGCAAAATGGCACTGTCATCATTACTTCTAATAATCCTATACAAAACGGTGTCATCAGCATACTGAGGAAGAGAAGATTGAACATGGTTTGGTAAATCAGCTGTGAAGAAATTAAATAATATAGGACCACGGACTGAGCCTTGGGAACTCCTGAAGTTACTGGTATATGATCTAGCGCCTGAAAAGATGATGCTTAATTCAACGTAGGAATTCACGTAATTATTAAGTACAGCAAACGTCAGCCGATTTTTAGTTTGATATCTCATTCAAAAAAACGAACAACTTTTGTAGCCCATTTGCTACCAAAAAAAGCAATTTAAAAAGACTTTTGTTTCGAGGTGATTTGACTTTAATTCGGATTGTATTTTCTTTTCTTTCAAAAGAGGGCGCGCTACACAAATAGTGGTCCCCACCTAAAGTATTTTCGTCAACACCGTGGAGGAAAACAGTATTGGGGGGGGGGGGGGGGATTATCGTCCGCACAGTGAACGAGTGCGTCGGTTTTTTTTTTCAGTAGACTCTTACTTAAATCATGGAGCTATAAACAATTAAGCAGTTTTTTCTCCGTGTTGGCAAAAATTATGTAAGTGTATAGCGTGCCTTCTTTTGAAAGAAAAGTTTAGTTGGCTGCATTTCGGCTTGTATTTTTCGCGCTTAACATACTACATTGTTTTGGTTATACCATTTCAATAATTTATCATTTTCTCTGGATATTCAACAGAATTTTACACATCACGACCAATTTGTTACAACAGATATTTCTTGAGTTAGCGTCCGGAAACCGAGTACTTTGTTTTCATTCCATGAAAGTTGACTTCAATTCGGGTTGCGTTTTTCGCGCTTAAAACACTACATGTTTTGCTTGTATTCAGTTTTGTTATATGACGATAGGCCCCATCTTGTAACACGTCTCACTAATTTAATATACGAAATTTTGATTGATTCGCAATCTTCCAACAAAAAAATCTTTAAAAAATAATTTCAAGTTTTGTTAGTTATGTTTACTGAACATCGATGAACATGAAAAGTAATGCAGTAAAGGAAAGGGTGAAAAGATTTGAAGAAATGAATTTTAAGCAAATTTTGTCGGAATATTGCGTTAGAGACAAATCATATTCACACTAACTCAACTTGCACAAAGTGCAACTTTTTCGGTATCATTTATCATAATTTCGTATACATTGTCACTGTTTTGGGTCATATGGCTGGATGGCTAAGGAACGTCTTTACTGATTAGTCGTTATTTGAGCAAAAGATGCTCAGTATACTTTTGAGTTGGACAAAAAAAGTATTGGGGGACTTTCCTTTTTGGTTGAGTGTAGTAGTGCGCATCCGTTCTGAATATACGATTGTATGCGACATTCCGCCCCATCATGTCAACAAAGTTGTCACCCTAATCTTCGTATAGGTTTTGGACAGAGCAAAAGCTGATGATGAGAAATCCATGTTCGCCCTACGAACGTTTTGTTTGTGCGTCTTTTGTCAGTTTGTTTTTTAAATAGAGTGTACAAGTAAACTGAAAAATATACAAAGTTTTGTGTGATTGGCAATTACCTCTTGTTTCAACTTCAAAGTTGCATGCTAGAAGCCGGGAAAAGCCATTGAAAACTCCTCAGTGAGCTGGGAGAGCATTGACCTAAAATATGTGGCTCATAAGTTGAAGCATTACTTTGTTCTTCAATGTATAGGATAAAACAATTCAACATTTTAACAAACGAAATTTGGGGTGGGTGGGTGGGTCAAAACAATTTCGAAAAAAATATCGAAATTTAAAAACATTGACAATTTTGAATGGCCCCTAATATAGCAAGAATTTCTTAATTAAATTATCGTCACTACATTACTTTGGTTATATTATTTTCATCATTTGACGGTTATCCCGGTATTTAACATAATATATTAACACTTATATATTTAAAATAAATATCTGACATTTTGATTCATTGTAACAAGTATTTCTTTAGTTATCGTCCGGAAAACGAGTGTATTGTTTTTGCTAAAAAAAATTTTTATATGCGTTACTTTAATTCGAATTGTATTTTCTTTCAAAAGAGGGCGCACTGCACAAATAGTGGTCCCAACCTGAAGTATTTTTGTCAACACGGAGAAAAACAGGTATTCAGGTATTTTTTTGGGGGGAGGGGGGCTATCGTTCACACAACGAGATGCGTCGTTTTTGTTCATTAGTCAGGCATGTTCTGAGTAGACTTTGACTTAAATTAGGGCCTAAGCAGGTTTTTTGTCAGTGTTGACAAAAAAATTCTGTACTACCAGTTTTTGTGTAGCGCGCCCTCTTTTGAAAGAAAAGTTTAGTTGTCTTCATTTCGGCTTTTATTTTTCGCGCTTGACATACTACATTGTTTTGGTTATATCATGTTTATAATTTACATTTTTTAAAATAAGTAATTATTAATTTTCATTATTTGACAGTTATTCCCGATATTCAACAGAATTGGGTTATTCATATCACAAAATATCAATATACGACATTTCGATTTAATGTAACAAGTATTTCTTGAGCTATCGTGCGGAAAACGAGTGTGCTGTTTTTGTTCCATATAAAGGAATAAATCCAACACGTTCTCGTAAAAAAAACCCGATTCGCTTGAGAAGGCAAATAGCGCCCTCTAGCTTAACCCTTTTATAATGACTGGGTGTAAATATTTACCAAAAGCCTATTGACAATATTCAAAGCAACTTTTTACACAAGGGAGTATCTTAGCTCCTTGTGCCGGGAAGGGGGGCTGGGATGGGGAATGGGGGATGACCAAAATCAAAACAATAATTGCCCGGCCTTGGAAATGCAAAAAGCGGGGCGAGTGGGGGGGGGGGGGGGGGGGGGGGGGGGGGGAGGGGAGGGGGGGGGAGGGGGGGGGGTGCTGGACACCACACACTACGGAACGCTGTTCATCATTATACAGATGCATATGTTAGGTAGAAAGCACCTCCATGATGGGAAATGCGCAAAATGCCTCAAAATGCGCGGTTTTGTTTTGCTTGCCACGAAAAAGTGCCGCCGGGGGGGGGGGGGGGGGGATCCAATAGCCCATCCCCTATGGTCAAAATGTGTTGGGCGGTATATACCCCCATCCACCTAGGATTTGCGCCCCTAGCCTGCCAGGAGGCGGGAGCAGTTGCAATGTACATTGTACATCATAATTATAATTTATATTCCCTTTCTTTTTTGTGATTGACAGCCCCGTTTGCTTGCCATGTGTTGGGTATACAAGCAAATGCCAGGGAATTTGCCGAGATGGAGAAGCCAAGTAAATGGGTGGGCCGGTGCAGAGTGAGACCTCACGGAAGAGGCTATAGAGTATAGGAATTTTGTTGGTAATGACGAAATCAACCCGATTGCGATTACACATGCCTAATTACCAAACAGGTGCACAATCATGTCTTCAAAAGTCTCCGCAATTAGCTGTCCGAATTTCAGACAGAAACTAATCGCAGCATTGGAAGTAAAGGGGTGTGGTGCA